AAGGGTGGAGGGTGTGAAGGGAGGGCTAGGAATGGGGAAAAAATAAGAACCAAGATGCATCATGTAAAGGTACAATTCCCAATGAGAAATGTAATAGTATTGCATACCTAAAATGTACCAATAAAAGAATTTAACAACAATAACAAAAAAAAACACAAAAAGATACCAATAAAATGACTATTATAAAAAACAAACATGCAAAACACGAAATAAGTGTTTGAGAGGATGTGGAAATATTGAGTCCTTTGTGCACTGCTGGTGGAAATGTAAGGTGATGTAATCTATAGTAATCACAATGGCCATTCCTCAGAAATTAAATAAAATATTACTATATTAGCCAACAATTCCACTTCTAGTTATATGCTCAAAAGAATTGAAAGAATGGTCGCTAGCATGTGTACAACAATGTTCATAGCATCATTAGCTCACAATAGCCAAAAGATAGACATAAATCAAATATTCATCAAGAGATAAATGGATAAATAAAATGTGGTTTATACATGTAATGAAATGTTCTTCAGCCTGCAATGGAGATGGGAATCTGTTACATGCTATAGCAGAGATGACCCTTGAAATGATATGCTAAGTGAAATAAGTCATACATAAAATATTTTACTTATATGAGGTGCCTGGAACAGTCAAATTGATGTAGATGGAAAGTAGACTAATATCAGTAGGGCTAGGAAAAGGCAGCAAGGAGGAGTTATTGTTTAGTGTGCATGAAATTTCACTTTAGGATGATAAGAATTTTCAGAAACATAATTATGGTGGTTGCACAACAATGTGAATGTACTAAATTTTATTGACTTTTACACTCAAAAGTGAATCAAATGATAAATTTCATGTTATGTGTATTTTAGCACAATTTAAAAAGTCTTCTTTTCTGGTTATCAAATACCCAGAGCTGGTATAAATAACATCTATTATCACATCATATATATATATATATATATACACACACACACATCTTATGTCACACATAACTTACAAACGATCATTTTGCTGACAATTTCTAAATATATTATTAACCACTTTCCAAATTCATATATCTTTTGTAGCTATTGTTGCTTTTATAAAAGTGTTGCATTTCCCAAATAGGATTCAGAGGCATATTTTTTCAATAAAGCTTA